GAGTGTGTGACTGTGATGGTTGGCGATGGTGTGAGGGCCAGTGTGAATTACCCGGTGTGGTTGGACTGAAGACAAGACTTCCTTTTCTAGAACTTTTTGCCTGCAAGAAGAAAAATATTCCCTATTTCTTTCCCCATCTCTAGCTTTGTCTCTACTCACCTACCACCCTAGTAAGCCCCTTTTTTACTTGTCATCTAAGAAGTCAGCCAAACAGCTATCTACCTCACCAGCCTTTCCCAAATGTAATTCTGTAGTGTAGATGTAGCTGCCATCGCTAGGCCCTAAGCTGATATGTTCTCTCTACCCTCTCTATTAGCTTTACTTCTCATAAGGGCCAGAGTGTTTTGGTGAATGGCTACTCCTTTCTGCCAGAACTAGCTCATAGGATGGCTGGAGGGTGCCATAGCTGGACAGAAGAAGAAGCAATGGGGAGCTGAGGGGCCACATCCCAGTCTTTCAGCATGTTATTGTCTCATTTTGCTTATCACAAGAACAAGGTAAATGAAGACGGTAATGTGGCCTTGATTATAGGAATGCCATACCAACATGTGATTCAGATCAAGCCTTGCCTGGCAATTCAGTCAGGAAATTACATGCTGAGGCACCTGGAAGGATTAATATTCTTTTCAGGTAAAAATGTCTTTTGTTTCCTTCATTTTTTTCCTTCTTATTACAGGCCAGGGCACCTGCTCTTGTGGTAAGTGCATTTGTGGAACTGGATGGTTTGGAAACTTGTGTCAGCATCCAAGGAAGTGTAACATGACGGAGGAAGAGAGCAGAAGTTTGTGTGAATCAGCAGATGGCATATTGTGCTCAGGAAAGGGTAAGCATTGGTAGCTGAGATCCCCTATGTCAGTGTTCCGCGAGATAAAAATAATCATGTTGCGGAAGATTGCAGTGGGTTTTTGTTTAATAACAGTTTCTTCTCAAGTCATCCATTGTTACAAGGCAGTTATTATTGGCTTCATAATGCTCATAACCTTGACAAAACACCCACTTCGTTGCATATGTGCTACAGTCACAAGCACTTATCAGCTTTGCTCTCCAGTGCAATTTAGTAACATCATGGGATTTCATGTACCTATCTGTGGACTTGTGTTGAGAGGTGGCTATTATGAACTGGTTTATGGCACTAGAGGGAACTATGTTCAATAACAGCAGCATTGGCTGTGCCAGTCTTCCTCTGCCCAGTTAGTGCAAGTGGAAAGCTAGTCCCTGGTAGCACCCATAGCTTCCTTGTATTCCCCCATTAGATATTTTCAGCACTTTATTAGTATTATTTTTCATATAGATCTTCAGCTGGCTGGCAGTCCAGTCTGCCTTAGTATGAGGGCAGGCTTGGCATACAGAGAGAAAAAATACATTTTAGAAGCTTCTACAATTCCCCTATCTTGAAGTCTATAAGAGACAAGGATTTCCTAAGGTGACAGCTTTTATTGGACCAACTATGTAGTTGGGATAAAATTGAACCTAAGGAAGAATGTCTTGCATTCAAAAGCTTGTCTAACTTTATGCCAACTACATAGTTGATTCAATAAAAGAGATCATCCTGAGAAATCCTCTTGCATAATTTCTGAATCATCACAGCTGCATCAGTCTTACACTATCATATCTTGAGTCTTTGAGAGTAGAAACAAACAACTTATGTCACTGGAAAGAGGATTTTTTTGATCTCTGATGGGATAAACCTAGTTATAAAATGCAACACAGCTGTGACCCATGGGAAAAAAATAGCTCCATGATCTTGAAGCTGGCTGGAGGCTGACCCAGTCGCTAGTTTAGCGAGTGTACACCACTAGAATGGCCTCCTGGGTGATCTTTTCTATTGTCCTGGATTGCTGGAGTGCAGTGCTCTCTGGCCTGGGCTACTCTTATTATACCACTTCTTCACCACCATAATGTACTCTGTGAGGATGAGATGTAAATGACATCGAGCAGACTTTAGGCCAACTTCCTTTGGCAATTTTAAGTCACTGGAATGGCATTTTAGTTTTCTGTCTGTATGTGATATAGAGAATAAGAATGCAGTACTTCATTGAACAATACTTTTAGGGAGGAAAGAGATTCTTTTGTGGTATTTTTTTTCTTCCTGAACTGGCCCAGTATTATAGAAAATGAGGAAATTCCTTACAATTAGACAAAGTGACCAAAACAGAAGAACTGTACAATTTCACCATGGTTTCAGCTAAAGACTGATGTCATTTGGAATTTACTGTGTTTTAGCCAATACCTAAATTCTTCTTTGTCAGTCTCAAAGTGACTTGCATTATAAAAATATAAGGTGAATTGATATGTGCTACTTTAGGTTCTAAACAAATATAAATATCAAATAATTTATTTGCAAGTTTAAAGGCAAATGCCTTGTACATTTGGGTTTTTTTTATAAATATGGATAGCTTTAAGCTTCCTTCCCCAACCCCATTCTGAAAGCAGCTTAGCCAGACCATGTATATTTCATCCTAGAATGTAAATTTGTGGCAAGATCCTCATAAGAATGTAAGAGCTGCCATTTACTGGATCAGATCATAAGTCCATCTTGCCCAGTATCCTTTGTCAGACAATGGCAGTGTGTGGAGGCTGAAAGGAAGAATGAACCGGGTATGACCAGGGATTTTTTCCACTGTTCCTCTCTCACATTTGACCAGAATGCATTTGGCACAGGACAAAAAAGTTGAGACACAGAAAGACCTTTTAGGCCCTCCCTTCCCTTCCACAGACAAGTTAAGCTGAGAGAGGATGTGGCCAGGCCCTGGCAGGCCTAAATATGACTGAGGACAGGTTTAAACCCCCACCTCGGCCTGCAGGATTCAGAGGGTGGAGGAAGAGGGACCGTGGCCAGATGGGGGCATGGCCATACCCCCATGGCAGGGAAGAAGGAGGAGGGGGAGAGCCCTGCCCACCGCACTGGCTCCCTGACAGCCGGGAGCAATCTGGGCACACAGCTCTGCTGCCTGGCCCCAGAGGGGGATGCTTCCCTCTCCACCTCATCCCACTCCCCCGCCACCATGGCATAGGGAGGAGGGCTCTGTGCAGTGATGGAGGAGGACCCTTCCTCCCCCTGTGCAGGGTGAGGAGGAGGGCTCTGTGCGGTGCTGCCTGGCCCTGGAGGGGGACCCTTCTCCCTCCTCCTCCCCCACACCATGGGGCAGGGAAGGGGGCTCTGTGCAGAGCTGCCTGGCCTGGCCCGGCCCGGCCCAACCCACCCTGGGTACAGGGAGTGGCTGTCACTGAGCTGCAGCTACTGAGGAGGGCTCTGCCCCACCCCTGAAGCCTGGGCCGGACCTGCTCAGCCCTGGCCAAGGCAGCCACAGTGTGGGCCACAGGAGTGGGGCCCTCCTCAGTGGTTGCAGCTCAGTGACAGGGAAGCTGTGCCCTGTCAGCGAGAGCAGTTTGTCCTGGCATTCATGGATGGTAGGGAGGAGGAGGGGGAAGAGTCCCTCTCTGGGCCCAGAAAGTGCTGCACAGAGCCCCCCCTCCCCACCCCGTGGTGGTGGCGGGGAGGAGGGAAGGGGGAGGGGGACAATACCCCTTCCAGCACTACATAGAGCCCCACTCCCTGCCCTATGGTGGGGGGGGAAGAGTCCCACTCTGGGGCTGAGCAGCACCCTGCAGCGGGGGGGGGGGCAGGAGAAGGAGGGATGCTTTGCCCCAGCTGTGGTCTCCCCAGTGTGTGTGGGGGGGAATTCCGTCCCTCCTCCCTTCCCCCTTAGCCTTAACAGGACCATGCTGGGTTGGCTGCAGTCCCTGCCAGTGGGGCAGGGAAGGGAGTGGTGTGAAATAAACCCCATCCTGGTCATCCTGACAGGCTGCTGTCCCTCCCCATCCCCTCGCTGCTCCAGAGGCAGGGGTGGGGGTCACGGCCCCGTCAAGGCAAAGAGGACAGGGAGATGGTTAATTCCTTCCCCCATCTCTTCTGCCCCAGGGACCACTGCCACTTGCCTGCAGACAGACAGACCCCAGCTGTGGGGCGGGGGGAGGGGAAGGAGGGAAGAATTAACCCCCTTCCTGCCCACTACCTTAATGGGACCATGCCAGGACATGTCTGGCCACACCCCCATCCCAGCTCAGGATAGAGAGCAGAGGGGCAGGGTCAGCCCTACTGTCTTGACCAGAGAGCACAACCCAGCCCAGCCCAGCTTAGCACAGGGCTTCAGAGCATGCTGGGATGCTGGAGGACTCTGGTTTAACTTAATCCAGGAAGGGGTCTGAGACCGAAGTTGCATAAACTGGTTTGACCCAAATCAGTTAAGTCTGATACTACATTCAGTGAGGGTTATCTCAAATCACTTTTGCCCATTTTGAAACTGGTTTATGTGCACTGAACTCATGTTCTGCTACAGGTTTAAACCAGTTTCTTATCACTTAAACCAGTTTATGTGTAACCTCTGTCCCTAGCCTTAGTCACAGTTGACTGCCCTTACAATGGAGCTGTGCTCCCTAACATAAACGTTCTGTGGGTTGATATGAATTATATTCGCCTACATGCAATCAAAGTTTTAAGAGAGCATAAAGTTATGCTCCTAAGGATCAGAGCTTCCATACTGATAGACACTGACAGATTTTTATAGGAACCATGGTACTTCAGTTTTTGGGGAGTCTACTTTCAAATTTATAAAAAGGTCCTGATACTCACAGCATGACTGCTCGATACTTTAATAAAATTAGGTCTTTTTAATATAGGGCAGGCTGACCACCAAAATTATCAATCACTTTTCAAAACCTTTGTTCACTAACTGCATCACTTGTAGTAAAAATTCTCACCAATGAAAACAACAACACCCACCAGGCTGCTGCTTCATCAGCAATGGATACAGGACTGCAGATGGTTGCTGAAACTGTTCTACACTCAATTGACTTTATGAGCCAAAAAAGGATCAGGGAGGCCCTGGCTAGAAATCCAAGGGAGCTACCCCTAGTTAATTAGATTGTTTTAATTAAACTGAGAAGGCTCCCAAAGCAGCACGTTCCTCGCAAGAAAGAGACTTCACATTTTTTACTTTTGTAATGTACTGTTATGTTCTGGAGCCTCCTTTCCTTTGGTTCCTTTCACATTACATTTGTTGTATTTTCTACATATACTGTTAAGATGCCTGTCTTTATGATGGGTCAACTCAGGTTTCTGACAGGATGATTTTCTTCTAAATTTTTCTGATTGATAAAATTGGCATCAGCTTATGCTTTTTTCAGCATCAAAAGGTTGGTGTGTTGTAGGTGATTTTGTAAAAAGGGACTTCTGGCTTACATTAATCTTAAATATGTCTTGTGATATAAATAATTTTATTTTTATTGTAAGCATGAGATTTTCTTACCATATGTACTTGCCCCAATTGCCTCTTTCTGTAATGGACTGTGTACATTTGGAAGTAGAGACATTATTTTTTAATATCCATGGTTTAATAGACAATTACATTATACCACAGAAAAAATAGGTGCTTTAATGAATTTTGTGCTTCCCAAGCATTAAAATTATAAGTCACTTAGTATTTGGTTGTAGAATCCAGTAGTTTACTGTTAAAGGCAACATTTTCCTAAAATAAATCAGTACATTAGTTAGTACATTAACTCTGCTTGTTCTACTATAAATAAATCAGTTAGTGAGTTACAATAAGTTTTGGTAGCTGTGCTCATCTGAAGTTTTAATAAATTAGAAACTGAGTGTACTAATCAAAGAACTCTAAGATTTGTAGCAAAACAGATTATTTCTGGGGAAAATGCAATTGATATACAGCATCCAGCATCTGAAGGAAAACTTTTTCTTTGAATTTTTACTATGGGACAGATCCCAAACCCAGTAAAGTTAATAGAGAGATGATCGTTGTCTCCATGAGCCTTCTGTAAGCATCTTGAGACTTCAATTTGTTACAATGTTTCATGTATAAGGGAGTAGGAATATATCTTTTTATGTGCTTTCTACAGCCATTATACACATCATGGCACTCTGTAATTAAGGAGAAACCCTTAAAATAATGTGATATAATGGGATACTCAAAAGTGTCCAAGCAACTTAGAAGCACATACTCTTTTGAAGGTCTATGCAACTTTAAATGTTTCATGGGGGGTTGAAAAATTCTTCCTCCTAATGTAACAGGGAGCTGGAAGCTCCAGTTATGAAAAAGGATCAGATTCATCATAATGGTCACTGTGCAAGTCAGGAAAGGGCAAAATAAGAAATACTAGCCATAAAGCAGGTGGCAGAGAGGAAAAGGGGAGCCACCAATTAACTCGTAATCAGAAAGGTTAGTACCTGGGAGTCGGGGAGTTATCATCCACATGTGGTTATGGGAAGAACAAGATAAGGACTTGCTTGGAAATGGGAAAGGTGGCAGAGGAACAGAAAGCAATGTGATGCACAGCTTTGAGAGAAAACCCTGTGGAAAAAGTGAGCCATCACCCATAGCGGGAGAAAGAGAGACAGAGTGCTGAGGAATCCTGTTAAGGGACTGGACTTTCTGGATTAGGGCAGTGAGAAGCCCAGGGATGGGTTACTCAGGTGGCCTTCATTTTCCCAAAAAGACTGGCTAGTTTTTCTGCTGAATGTAGGTTAGAGGGCTCGGAAGTAAGACTTATGAGGAAAGTCTGAAAGAACGATGTTTAGTTAATTTGGAGAAAAGACCAAAGGGGGTGGTGGATTTAATAGCAATCTTCAAATACCCAAAAGACAATTATCAAGAGGATGTAGATGGGCTTTTCTTTGTCTCCACAGGGGACAGGACTAAGAGCAGTGGCCTCAAGCTGCATCAGAGGAAATTTAGGTTGGAGATTAGAAGGAACTTTCTGACAATGAGGATGATCAAGCATTGGGACAGGCTAGCTAAATTTTGAAGAGCAGGTTAGACAGACACTTGGCTGGGATGGTTTTGTAAGGGACAATCCTGCCTTGAGCAGGATACAGACTAGATCTCACAAGGTTCCATTCAGCCCTACTTCCCTACGATTCTGTGATCCTCTGAAACCTCTTTAATATTCTTTAGGGCAGGGACATGGACTCAGGTCTACCTCCCAGGTAAGTGTCTAAACCACTAGGCTACAGAGTCATTTACACAAGCTCATATTTTTTTGTTTTTCCTCTTACAAAGTGGAACAGCATCAGTTGAAGGAGTGGGGGGCTTCGAAGAGCCACATTTTACTTAAGTGCCTATATCCACTTGTGGATTTTGTCCATTGTGCCTTGGTCATAGTGGGTCATTTTCACTCTGGAAACAATTTTATCAATTTCACTACTGTTAGCCCACGAGTGATTTTGGCTTTTTTAGTCACAAAGCAGAATAGCTACTGGGAAGCGTAGGCGTGATTGTGGATTTCTGGAACAAAGGGAAAAACCTCTAAATGTGAGTCATGATTAAACAAAATAGCAAAATCAAGGCAGTAGACTGAACACCACTTCACACTCAACTCACCTCTAAAGGACCCTTTTATTCAATAAGCTTTTATCTTGATTATCGTCTTTTAGACAATAGCTTGCTAGATAGCAATTGTGTGTATGTCTGACATGTTATATCCCAGACTGAAAAGGGTTATTGCATTGTAACTGAAAACGATCATCTTTGTGATTTCAGGTTCCTGCCACTGTGGAAAGTGCATCTGTTCACCCCAGGAATGGTACATTTCAGGGGAATTCTGTGAATGTGATGACAGAGACTGCGACAAACATGATGGGCTCATTTGCACAGGTGCAGTACAGACTAACCCTTAATTGCTCTTGAGAAGCTGACTGCATAAATTGAAGTGAGACAAAACCCAAGCTGTTCTTTGTCCATTGATGTCATACTTTCCTATTATTAAAAATCATTGTAGATGTTAATGGAATGCTTCTTTGTGTACTGTGGATAAATTGGCACAACTTAACAGTTCATAATAAGAATTGAAAACCAAAGCATGAAGTACAAAAACTAAATCATTTGTGACATTCAGTCAGAGGAGGAAACTGCATTTGTCCATTTATTCCTGGAAAAAATAGATATATAACAAATATTCCATATAGTGTATTCCATATACTAATCCATATACATCTATAGCGATATAGATATAGATATAGATTGCTATATGGAATACACTATATGGAATATTAGTAATTCAGCAAGTTGTATGGCTGGCCCCTTTCTTATTTCATTTGCTATAATAGATGTATGTTAATGCATTCAAATTGTAATCTTTGGTAATACAGTGTGAGCAGGTGCTTATATTACAAAGAGAATAACAGCCATGTTTGCCAATACAGTTCCCTTGTATCCACACAATTCTCTCAGGGATGCTAAGATGTCTGACAGTCTTTCTTGTAACATGATAGCTGCTGATTAAACCTGTTCCACCTATCTTAGGTCTGAGGGTTTAGGTCGCAGATGCAAAGGGAAATGAACAGATTTCCAACTGTTCCTTGTAGCAGAGGAAGGAGAGAGAAATCTAGTGACAAGCAGAAACATGTGAACTGTTATATTAACTTGGTGGGTATTCCAGAATGAAAATCTTAGAGCACAGTCTGTCTGTCTATTCACCTAGGAAACTCTTTGCCGAGCAGTGCTCTCCTGCTAACTAATACCTACAGTAGTAGAAGTCAGAACAACATCTCTGTTAAGTAGGGAGGGGTAGGAAAAATCTCTAATGATTACGATGTGAGAAATATAATCAATCAGGTGTTCTGGGTTCTGTTCACAAATCTGTCACTGATCACCTGGATGACTAAATTTACAACTGTTCCCTGTGTTTGGGTGCTCACAATTGTGAGGTTCCTACAGACCTATTTTTCAGAGGTGCTGACTGCCACAATTCCATTTAAATCAATGAAAACCAGGACATAGCTGCCTTACACTGGGCATCAAAAGGCAATGTTTGAATATATCATTTTTAATGCTCCATGCATCAGTTTCCCTTCTCCAAAGCAGGACAATACCTTCGTATCACAAACAGACTTTGATATATCTTTAGTAAAGATTTGAAAGGCACCATTTTGTATCAGAGAATCACAAAGCGTTGTTTGTATTACCATTCAGTTTGCTGCATGTGTTTTTAAATGTTAGCTAAAATAGCTCTAGTTTTTCCTCACACCTTGAGGTGCAGTGTGAACATGAAGCACAAACATCTGGGTGCAAATCATGATGGCATAATTACAATATTTACTATTCTGCTGATGGTATTGCTGAAAAGATGCCATTAATTGTTTGAAAGCGTAGGTTTTTGGCTGCTGCTTAATCAAATGTAAAGTGCTCTCTCTACAGAAAAATATGTAAAGGGACAATAAAACTATTTTATTATGGCTTGTTACTTCCCATAACAACACATTTTAATGTAGTACATTTCAATTATGGTAATTATCCCGTTTGCTCTGTTCTAGGCAATGGTGTATGTAGCTGCGGGAACTGTGAGTGCTGGGAAGGATGGAATGGAAATGCGTGTGAAATCTGGCTCGGGACAGAATACCCTTAACTACAACAAAGAACATCAAGGACTGAGGGTTGTTTCATGTGTTTTGTTTGTTTGTTTTTTAAGCTGCTATAACACGTAAATGCAGGGTGAAAGACATAGAGCAACCACTAGAAATACCCAGACTGCATCTGTATTTCAGAGCACCCTACCAAGGGCCTGCTTCTGTTCCTATAGATGCCCGTGACAAATCTAACATTGCTTCAATGGGAACAGAATTTGGCCATAAAATACTTAAAGCTGTATTGGAGTTAATGGGAATTTTGCTTGTAGTCAAATGTTTATAGTCAAATTAAAATCGGCCTTAAATAGTGTTTGATGGAAGTAGCACAAAAGCAGTTTTTTTGCATAATCTACTTTCTTTTTCCAATTTCAGTGTTGCTACATAATAACATTAAGAAAAAAGCATATAGTTGAATATTTGGCAAAAACAATTCTGATGAATTTGATAGTGTTTGTGAAATATTTCATTTGACCTTTGATTCCCTTCTATTTATGCTGATTATGTCAGGGCTCCAATAACAAGAGAAGCTGTAAATTGCTCATCAAAACCTTAATGCTTTTAATTTTTGTCTGAGAATCGTATTTGTCTAACTGAGATTCAAATACCTATGCACCACATACAGTAGATCAATGACAGAAGTTATGAAACCTGACCCCATTGCTAGAACAGCACATTTTTTAAACACATAATTTTGTGGCTTCTGTGTCAGTAAGCTGGTTATTTAGTCTTCATACGCCAATACTCTGAAATGCATATTCTTTAAGATTATAAAAAAAATTAAAAACAGAGAAGATAAACTGTATGATTTGCTATTTTGAATAAATATATTAACTTGTATGTACTTTCATCATACTGTTTTATGTATGTTCACTTTATCTAGATCTTAAAAGTAAAGCAAATGAAATGTTAACTTTTAGGATGCCAATTCTGTATTCTATTAGGACTTGCTGCTTAGGAACAGATTACACTGCCACATGTGGTATCCATTGAATTTTACTATTTTTGTGCAAAGTGGGAGTCGAAAGGTCAACTGAATTGGAAAGTCAGTTATATAGTATGGAAGACGGGAATCAGCCAAACACACACAGAGGATGGCAAAAAAGTATATATGTTTTAAAACAGTAAATACAAACAATGCAGTGGAATGAACAAACTTTTTATTTTTTTCCAATGGTGAAATGCTCAGTGTGAAATTCACATTGAATTATGAAAAAAATGCACAAGTGTTGGGACTTCCCTAATTTATTTACATTTCCTTTTCTTTTTTGTACATGTAAATTTGGCAGCCCTTTAATTTTTCAGAGCAAAAAAAATACATACATTTTCTTTTCAAAAGTTAGTGATTACATCTCAAAAGTATGACTAAGCAATAAAAAGACTTCAATGTTTCTTTTAATATCAAACTGTAATATTGTGTTGTGATTTAGGGATCATGGTTCAGTCTGTTAGAGAGATGCAGGACTCAGAATGAAGGAACCTGGTTTTCAGCTGAAAAAATGTATTTCCATCATGACACTAGAAATTTATTTTCTTATAGAAAGGACTCAGATGAAATAGGAAAAGACAACAGTACAGAGCACGTAATAGTTATAAGCATGAAAACGTTTAATGCAGTGACTGAATGGTTTTCAACACATTTTCATTCTGTTCCCACTTTTATTTTGTTCCCATTCTTTATCTTACCTGATCATCTTTTTTTCTAAAAGAAAAAAGAAGACAAAAAAGAAGAAAAAGAAATGCTACTTCTCAGGGAGACAACACAGTCACCTCAAAAAGTCTTTGCATAACACCGACATAATGAGAACCCCCCCTTCCCCACCCCCGGCCCAAAGCTGCTATTGTTAGGAAATAAGGCAGAGTTCTAAAATGTATTCATACAGTATAAAGAAAATTTAAAGTAAAATAAATATTGAAAAAATAGTTGGGATTTTATAGCTCTAATCTTCAAATTGTGTAGAGAGTAACAGGAATGACTATATGTGTTTTAATATATATGCATTTTACCAACCCTGGTCTTTTGACTGGTGATCAACAAGTTTGTTGGTTTTATTTATTCCTAAAAGTAGTACAGATCTAAAAATAATCAACATTTTATGGAAGTGGGTGCTTCTACTGAGTCAAAATTTTAAGGCTGAAGGCATAATTAACTTCCTTCCTTCCATTTGTATGCAGTACTGATAATAGAAAATAGACAATTAATATTATTTTCCAAGTTTTAATGGATGTTTTGACTGGTTTGTTTCTATTACACACAGAGATATGTAAGTACAGTAGATAGGCGTGATACGTCAAGTACTACATTGGATTGGAAAATATGTTCCTAATTGGTGTACAGGGCTGTAAATTACCGAATATCTGATTGTCATATATAATGGTTGATGTATTTTACTTTGTGATTTGGGTTATACTTTTCCATTAAGTTTGTAAACTAAAAGAAACATAAGTAATTCTGATGTCTAGTAGGAAAAGTTTAAAACATTTTCCCAACTAGTTAATTTTAAGTTTTAGGAACAGGGTGGATTATATAACCTTAATATTTCAAAAAGTCTTATCTGAATTGTTTGATAAAGCAAGTAACTACAGGGAAATATTTTTAGAAAATGTTGACAGAGTACCTATGGTTAATTAGAATGTAAATTATGAAAGCAACACCGTACTATATGCTTTACAATGTTTACAAAGACTACTACAATTGAAGTGGATATCTTTTTACCTTTACAATTTTTATTCTGTTTCTTATTTTTATTGGTATAATACTCATTAACCCCCACAAACTAAGGTAACCAGTAGGCCTGCATGAAGTGTCTAGTATTTGCTTTGGATTCGGCCGATTTGGGGACAGTGATTTGATACAGTGATCCAAATCACTGTTCCAAATCGATTCGGCTGAATATAATTCTGAGATTTGGCTACTGCCAAATCTCCAAATCACCCAGGCCCATCCCCTGCCCACTCTCCCAGCCCCGGCACTCTGAAAAAAAAAAGCCCTGACTCATTGGGTGCTGCTGGGCAGGGGGCTATCCTTGCTGTTTCCTACTGCCCCATGCTGCATGGGGGGGGTCTGCATGAGCCCCACAACCTCCCTCCCCACTGTCCCAGCCACCACGTGGCTTTCCCGCCCACCCCAGCTCCGGCCCTTTAAGAAAAAAAAACCACAGAGAAAAA